CCATGATGCTATTGGCTTGCATGGGCAGAACTGCCCCAGGCTGTTCACATGATATTTGAATGCAATTGCTGTCTAGCTTCTGAGGGGTTTACCCATATTTGAACACTTTAGGGAGGGGTGTCTCTGCATCCCTCCTCCCCCACACCCCATCTGCCTTGTCATTCAACATCTGTTGCTCTGTAGTCAGTCTGCTTTGATACAGGCAGTTTCTTTATTCCCTATCAACAGTGGATGGCTGTGTGATTCAGCCACGTTTCTTGCTGGTGATCAAGATGGCTGGAAGAGTCTCTCAGTCCCAGAGCTGGACAAGAGCTCCACTTGAGCCCATCAGCAAGCCTGGAGCCACACAAGTGGTGTCTGAGGGAGGCCAGCTAGAAAGAACCCACATTTCCCAGTGGTCCTGCATAGCCCAAAGAGATGTCTTAACTGGTCATACCAAAGTTAAATTAATCTTGATATAATTAACACAATGCCTACCTCCATTTGCTTGCTGCAAAAGTACAAGTATTTAGAAGGGCTTCATCTAAGGACCTTCTAGGTTCTTGGTAAAGCCTCCCCTACTGTCTCCAGCCACATCCGTTGCCTAAGAGATGAGTCACATACCTTCCTTGCAGAAAGGAAACACAGTGCTCATTGTGAACAAAACCGATGCAGTCACTGGTTGTCAAAGGTCACAGGGTCCCCACTGGGCAATGATGTTGTTTCCCAGCCTGTTTTACACCAGAGGACAAGACGGGAGTATCGCATATGCTCAAGAACTTCACCATCGCTAGCCTTGTACAGGCAGGGTTTGATTGCACCCCAGCACTAAGCAACCTGGATGAAGGCACAAACAATACCCAAATGCTAATCCAAGCCTCTGTGATGACACATCACCAAATTCTGCTTCCATCTCAGACAGACGTAGGTGATGCTGCTCTTCCTGCCCACTTCTGTTACTGATTCTGTGTGCTTACCTATGGAAGTCTATGGGGCACCTCACTCCACCCTGCCTGGAGGTAGGACTCCAAGGGCTACATACACAGCCACCAGGACATCAGGCACAGCAGCCTGGGGTCAAGGCTGGAAAGAAGGGCACAAACTGTTTCATAACTAGGATGGGGAGCTTTACTGACGTGAGAATTTTGTTGGTAGAAATTCATCCTGAATGTTAAAAAAATCTGAAGGGATCATTTCCCTCTCTCTGCTCCTGTTATACACCACATCTTTTTTCAGCTTTTGCTTTCACCTATGTCATATGTCAAATAAGATCATCCTCTGTCTCTTTTTATATTCACAAACTGCAATGAAAACACTATGAATTGCATTTTGTGTCATTTGTTGCTGAGCATTTGCTGCATGCAGCGGGAAATTTTTCTCTTCCTACCACAAAACAGTGACATGGATACAAAGCTAAACATCAATTCTGCCCGGTACTATAAACCACTGGTGGTTTTTTCCAGGTGGTAAAAAAACATATCCCAAATCATCCTCATTTCCTGCAGAATGGAGCTCCCCTTCTCCTGCCAGCCCTCTGAGCAGAAGGATGGGCTCTGCCCTACTCCCAGTCTTTCCAACCAGGACAAGTGGCCAGAGAGGACAGTGTGACTGTCAGCTATCTGTGGAACCAGCTCCCCACAGGAGGCCACAGATCCCTGGGGACACCCTGGCACCAAGGGCTGCCTCAGCAAACCAGCAAGTGTAGGGCTGGCATGGCACAGCATCATCTGGGCCACTAGAAGTCCCAGAAAAGCAGCAGAGACATCTGTTTCTGGTCAAATTCCTGACAGCCCTGTATATGTCCATACCCATTATTCTGCCAGATACTTTCTGATGGAAGTATCTCACTATTGCCTTTGGTGATGCAGCACCATAGTCAGGCTGAAAACAACTGCAAATTCAGGCAGGAGGTTCCTTGAGGTGCTGGGTTCACAGGCTGCAAAACACAATCACCCATGTCAAGTCCCACCACTGTTCCAGGGCTAACCCTGTACTGGTAAAGTTAACGGATTTATATGATCACAAACCACCAGGACATTGTTTTTATGTACCATCTGGGCCCACTTATCTAAGGATGAGCATGACTGCTACTGTCCTGGATTCAGCAGTAGCAGTCATTTTTCTCCTTCTTAGTAGCTGGTGCAGTGCTGTGGTTTTGACTTTCAGCCTGAGAAAAACGCTGATAACACCGATGTTTTTAGTTGTTGCTCAGTAATGTTTACCCTGACCAAGGACTTCGTGAGGCTCATGCTCTGCCAGGGAGGAGAGGAAGCCGGGAGGAAGCAGAGACAGAACATCTGACAAAAACTAGCCAAAGAAGTATTCCATACCACAGCATGTCATGCCCACTATATAAACTGGGGGCAGTTACCCAGAAGGGCTAGATCACTGCCCAGGTTGGGCTGGGTATTGGTTGGCAGGTGGTGAGCAGTTGTATTCTCTTCCCTTGTTATTTCCCTTATCATTATTATTAATTGGTGGCAGCAGCAGTGGTTTGTTTTATACCTTAGTTACTGGACTGCTCTTATCTCAACCTGTGGAAGTTCTTTCGATTCTCCTCCCCATACTTCCAGGAGCGGGGGGAGGAAGAGGGCGAGTGGGGGGGCAGCTGTGTGGTCCTAGATTGCCGGCTGGGCTTAAACCACCACACTCTTTTCAAAAGGAGCTATGCAGTCAAGCATCCTCTCTCACAGCTAAGGTGTCTTAGGTGTCGCAAACACAGGTGGATAAAGATGGGAAAAACAAGACCATCTCCCTGAGTCCCTTCCCTGCACCTCACACTTTGGGCAAGGCACCAGAGCAGTGTTTGGTGAGCTGCCGATGCACTCAGATGTGCAGACACATTAGCCCACACACTCCATCAGGGACTAGTTGCATGCTATTGTCCTACAGCCTCTTCTTGTGATCTCTTTGTGACAAATGTCCTTATGATCTCTGTTCTCCACACTACCCAAGGCAGCAGTAACTTGTTACCACCTTTCCTTCAGTTGGCTGGGTGAAACTTTGGAAACTAGACTGTACTTTCAGTGAAACCCATAAAAAAACAATTCTTAAATAACAGAACTTAAACATTTCCAAAAGAAGTTAGAAAACAGATCTCTTTATTAGGAACAAAAGCATAATGGGGACAACAAAGCCATCAAAAAAGAACAATAGCTGGACATGAACACATACAGTTAAAGGAAGAGCGCAGGGTGGACTTCTCACCTCACGGTAACAGAAACCTTTGCCTGCATCTTCAGCAAGGAAGGACAGAAAACCAGCCATGTCATCATAGACATATGCCTCATAAAGCCATGTGCCCCATAAGCCATCTTGAGTTTCAGATTCCTGTCTCAATGGGAAAAATGCTTCCTGGACTGGGGTTACACTAATAGTGGTAAAATGGTGGTGCTAATAGGGCACCCCAGCCCTCCCAGGGCTGACAGAAGCAAGGCAGCACTAGGAAAAGCTGAAGTCTGGATGCACCAGCCCAGCAGGACAAGGGTGGCCCTACTCTGCCACCCGCAGCACCCAGAACACTGCTGGCTTCTACTTCAGAGCAGCCCAAAGAAATGTCCCCCCTTCGAAGCACGTACTGGAGTCGACTGTCCCCTGTCTGCCCCTGGCAGAAAGTGCAGAAGAGATGCAAAGCTGACTGTCCTCCCATTTTGGTGACAGCAGCTCCTGTTCACCCAGCATCACTCACTGCCACTGTGCTGCTTACAGGCACTTGCCACCCCAAGCACTTGGCGTCATATTTTTGTCATTCAACTCACAGCCTTTGAGGAATGTTTGCACTGAAATGAGCTAGAACAGCACCATGAGGAAAAGAAATACTATCTTCCTTTTAGTGTGGAAAATCTGATTCCTACAGCAGCCTTAAAAAGCGGAGAGGCTGAATCACCACCAACACAGCACACGAGATCCAAATATCTTCTAAACAGAGTCACAAGACAAGGAAACAACAAGAACAACCACCTATGGCTGGGCGTCACAGGTGCAGAGCTTTGCCATGGTCACAGACATGCAGACTTCAGGTGAGCATGCAGCAGTCCCACCAGCTCCCTGCCTGGGAGAGAAGTGGCTTCAGCTTGGTTTTTACTTTGTTGGGGTACTCGCAGACCTTGTTGAGTGACATTTACAAGGCATACCTCAAATCTGTTTCCAAGGGATTCATGGCACAATATCAGCACAATATAAAAGAAGAACAAAAGGAAAGAGAGGGATGAAAGAAGGGAAGAGAGGAATGCAACACACACTTCCCCGCTCCTTTCAGCCTCAACCTGTACCATCTCTCTCTTCACTCTACCATGCCTTTCTAGCCCACAGGGCTAGGTTAACACCAACATGTCTCACTTCCAGCTACCAAAATGCACTTGTACAGTAAATACCTTGCTCTGGCAGTGCATCTGCAGTACTCCTTGTGCCTCGAGAACCCTGCAGCCCTGGGCAGCTTGCCAGAGACTCAGTTACCTGCTGCCTGGGATAGAATCTTTGCCCTCTCCTGACCTCATCCTTCTTCCCTGCAAGTCTACCCCAGCTACTCTACTTGCAAACCTCTCCTGAGCAGAACAGGACTTGCATAGCAGTAAGACTTGCCTAAGAGAGTCTGTGAATGGCTCCTGCCTGTCCAAGTAACACAGCACTGAAAAAGCCTACATGTACAGGTAGATGGCCTGCTTTATGAGCTTGCAGTAGCTAAATCATTACACTAAAGGCACTAATGCTTGCACTGACAAATGATCTCAGTGTTATAATCAGCGTTTTTGACAAAATTACACACCCCAGGCCCCCTCCTGCTGCAAGCAAGCAAGCTAGTGATGGAGCTGGTTTAACTCACAACCTGAGCAGTGAGGTTCTGGTGAAAGCCATTACAGGGCATCAAAAGGCAAGCAAGCCATCACCTCCTAGGGTCTGCACACAGCAGTCCCTGCCGCCACCACCACCACTCTTGGTCCCAAACAGCAAGTGGTGAACAAATCATAAAGGGGCTGGAGCTCAGAGGAGTGATTCAGATAGAAACCAAGCACACAGAGATCTCCATTGAGCTTTTTTCTGAGGGCCTGTGAAAAATGCCTTGAAATCTCTGAAGGAGGGGGCTTTCTCAGGAAATCTCGGGCAAGTTCTTGTTTCTGTCTGGGACTGGAAGGCCATCCCAACCTGCCTGCCATGCCTGCCCCTTGCAGGAGCTGCTGGCTGTGAGAGACATGGCAAGGCATAAGGTGGCAGGAAGCAGAGGAGCTGCCCGTCTTATTTCAGGCTGTCCTCTAGGGCTCCACAGTTTAGCTGCAGGTCTATTAAGAGGCAAAGCATCAACGAGCTGCCCAGTTTTGTTTGTTAGAGAACTTGGCAGCCCACAGCAGTGTGGCCTTCAAGCCAAGAATCTGCTTTTCCTTGTATACGTATTTATCTTTTTAAATGAAGTTAGCAGGCCTGACACCTCATGCCTTTCCCCTGCCAAAATTTCCTGGACTAATTCTTACACATAGTGGGACTATGGGACGCAAAGGATGGGTGTTGTAGGCTTCAAGGCAGGGTAGAACAGCAAGCATGCCAGATCAGTCATCGGTTGGATCTGGGAAACAGTCTGAGGGATTTTCCTGGCTTTCCACATCAACTATGACCTCTGGGTCTGGCATTTCCTCAGCCTCCACCTCCACTGCCAAGTTTTCTTCCACAAGTGGCTGAGGCTCAACATCTTGATCAGTCTGGGCAGCATCTGGAGAAGAAGTGAGAGGTGGTTTAAATGCCTGCACTATGCTCACCCTTGTGGAAACCCTTCCCCAGCCCCTGATGCTGCTGGCTGCCTAACCCGCTCAGTCCCCTCTACCCAGGTGTCTGCAAGCAAAATTTCAGTCTTCTTTGTAAGTACTCACTTATTGAGTTGTCCATTATAGCTTTAGACACTTTGGTGTCCCAAATATATAAAAATACTAAAGCCAAATCTACACAGTTACATCTGAGTAATTAAAGCTGGGAAACAGCATACATTTAATATATTCTCACCTGAACACTTTAAATACACACCTCTGCTTTCTACTTATTTGTAGAAAACTTTAATGTGAGATACTTTGTCAGTCACGCTGACAATGTGTAAATCTTTTGCTAAAAAAAAGTTCTACAGTTTAAGAATAATATTAAACAATGACCTGAATTACTTTTTTTTCTTTCTTGCAATATATCCATGAGCAGTATTTAATATTTTGAAAGCACAGCAAAGCAGCATCCAAGGTTAGACATAAAACATAGCTGAGCTGCTGAGAGGATGCGCTTGGTACAGTGAAAGACACCAGAATTGGAGACAGTAGTACTGAGACAATGCTATGACCTCCAGTTCATGATGTCTCTGCTAGGCCTACTTCAGGTGATGATAGCTGCCAGCATACACATTTGTGAAAAAAAATTGAGGGAAACATAACGCAAAAAGTGGAGTATTAACATCAAGCACTTACAGAACAGGAGATTTCTGAAAGGTTTTTACCACTGCACTTTCTTGACCATACACGTGCTAAAGTCGTGGGATTTTAGTTTTTATTCCTTTGAAGGATATAAAACATGATTGTATTCCCACTGTAGTCCCAAATTAACGAACCTCATGAGTTTCAACAAGGCCAAGTGCAAGGTCCCAAGGTCCTGCAGCTGGGTCAGAGCAATCCCAAGCACTAACACAGGCTGGGAGGAGAACGGTTGAGAGCAGACTAAAGAGAAGGACTTGGGGGTGTTGGCTGATGAAAAGTTCAACATGAGTCAGCTTCAGTGTGTGCTCACAGCCCAGAAACCAAGCATGTCCTGTGCCTCATCAAGAGGAGCATGAGCAGCAGGTCAAGGTGATTTTCCCCCTCTATGCCACTCTTGTGATACCCCACCCGCAGCCCTGCATTCAGCTCTGGGGCCCCCAGGACAAGAACATGAACCTGTGAGTCCACAAGAGGGCCATGAAGATGATCTGAGGGCTGGAGCACCTCTCTTACGGAGACAAGCTGAGAGAGCTGGGGTTGTTCAGCCTGAAAAAAAGACTCAGGGGAGACCTTACAGCAGCCTTCCAGTACCTAAAGGGGGTTTACAAGAAATCTGGAGAGGGGCTTTTTACAATAGCATGTAGTGACAGGACAAGGGGAAATGGCTTTAACTGAAAGAAGGCAGGTTTAGATTAGATATTAGGAAGGAACTCTTCCCTGTGAGGGTGCTGAGGCACTGGCACAGGTTGCCCAGAGAAGCTGCGGCTGCCCCATCTCTGGCAGTGTTCAAGGCCAGGTTGGACGGGGCTTTGAGCAACCTGCTCTAGTGGAAGGTGGCCCTGCCCATGGCAGGGGTTGGAACTGGATGAGCTTTAAGGTCCCCTCCAACCCAATCCATTCTATGATTCCATGAAATACATGAACCTCCAACTTTAATGGGATTTAGCTGTCTTTACAGATCAGCATATTGGTGGACACTTTCCTGAAGATGACTGCTTACAAAAACAATGCTGAGCCTTCTAAAATGTTACTGATGAGAAGTAACGGGAAGGAGGCATGATAAAATTGCAGGAAATGTGCTAAGTTTTGAGGGGGGTGCTGTTTTTGAGATGCGTATTTTAGCACATGAGGTACTGGAACAGTCTGTAGGCTGCCAGCGTACCCTGTGTGGGATGCTTCTGGGATGGCTGCCATTACAACTCACAGCTGGGTGAGGGCAAGAGCCACACCTGTGTAGAAGCCAAGCATGAGTAACGTACTGATAAATGACCTGCTGCAACTCCTGTTGTCTGGACAAAATGTAGCACCTTCCAAGCATGTACTCACCAAGTGAGTCCCAGGCCCCTCTCAATAGTCAGCTCCTACCCTATCAGCCACACACATCCCTTTTGTCCTTCACCCTCCTAAACAAGCTATCTGTCCAACTTAAATCAAGTCACTGGACCCACCAGGCTTTGGAGGATAGTCAATTTGGGCAGCTTGAGCCTCAACTTGGTCTCCACTGGGGGGGCTCTTCACACTTTCACTGGAGATCATGGACATTGTTAGTCTGTCATCTTTCTCCTCCTCTGCAAAACCAAAACCGGAAACTTGAAACAAAGAGGTCCCGCACATCCCAGCAGCCTCAGCACATCCATTGCAAGGCCAGACCACCAATACATGCTTGTATCCCCTCCTCATGCGGCACTGGCTCCATTCCCAGAGCAGACGGATGCTGTGTACAGTGGGTCAACAGCAACCTGTCAGAGACCAGCTTGGGCAGGCTGGCAGGATCACAGCTTGAGGTGACGTCACTGGGCACGGGCAGATTGCAGTCAGGGACTGGTGTTGGCAAAGGACTACCATCAGAAGCCTACAGGTCATTTCAGGATTACATATGAATGAGGCTCAATTTTCTTGCCCATAGAAGAGATTCTGTTGTTTCTTTCTTTTCAGGAGCACATGGTGGCAAGCGTGAGGTGAAAAAAGGAAAAGCAAGGTTTAATTCCACACCCTGCTGGTCACAATAGTTGCCCATCAGCATGCAGCTTTCTGCTCCACCAGGACAAGGGAGGACTGGCTAGAAGACAAGCAGTGACCCAGCTGAGACCCGTTTATGCTGAGGCTATTTTAACCTCAGGCTACACTGAGGCTCATTCCAGGGGGAAACAGCATTCTCCACTCACCTGAAGGCACTGGGATGAACTTGTGTTTCCTTTTCATGCAGCAACATATGACTGAGGATACAAGCACCACCATGATAACTGCACCCCCTGCACACCCTGCAAGGATGTAGATGAACCACGGATACTGCAGCAGGTCTCCTGCAAGAAGAACATGGCACTGTTAGTTACCAGGGCAGACAAGCTACTTCCTCCAAAGGGGGGAAATCCTGCAGCCAGGTTAGAGCATGTGGACATTAGTGTTGCTTTGGTTTGGATGCGGGGAGCTGATCCTGTGAACCGTGGCACATCGTGACTTATGTCACATCATTTAATTATAGTATGGGATTGTTTGTTAAGAGACTTGCTTGGTTAAGCTATGCACGTTTGTTTTGACCTACTCTGACCAGTAACATCTAAGATAATTCATAAGTTTTAAACAAATTTAACAAGAAAGGTGGTGATTTGAAAGATACTACATTTCAACAAGGTTTATGAAAACTGACAGCTGAGAAAACGATAGTTACCTAAGGTAGCATCTCCTGCAGAAAGAAAAGCTGCAGAATCCACCCTCAGAGCTTGTGCTAGGGCCCAGAGAACCCACTTATAACAACCATGTAATGACTACACCAAACTCAAAGCAAGTCTGATAAAAGATCACTTTCTCAGCTACCACAGACTTCAGCCACCCGAGTCAGAGCTTTAATAAACCAGCTTCACTGCCGCCTGGGGAAGGATTTCTCTTTATTGCCCTTCCCAACCAAGATCATTCAAAACACCTAGCAGGAGGCAAAAGCTACAGATGGCTGAGCAGAAGGCCACACACAAGTCAGTGGTAATTACTGCCCAGCTCAGAGTCCCTTGCTCAGGGTTGCTTTGATGGGTCAGCCTTGCACATATGTTGCTGCTGAGCAAGGAAGCTGGTAGAGGGCATCACAGACTTGCAGAAGAGAGATTATCCCAGATTAGCTCCCTCTCTAAAACAATTTATTCCAACCTGGGGCAGCCAGAAGGAAAACTCTTCTTCCCACATGAAAAAAAAAAAAAAAAACAACCCCATACAGCTCAATTATCACCATAATGCAGAGTCCTTAAAACTTCTTAGGTGAGCTTACACAGTCCATTTTTTAATCATTTGGCTTCTTTTTGGCTGCATGCACCCCTGTATAGCATCACACTGCAGAAACCACTGGGCTCACATAGAGCCTGTTTTCAAGACCCCATATGCACAAATTGCTGCATATCCCCAGAGGCTGGGAAGTGTTTCAAATGTTCCAGGACATACTACACACTGTTACAGTTCACACACTCACCAGGACAGTAAAAACAAGGGTACACAGCTCCTCCTGTGTGTGAAACCACACATACTCAGTATTTTTGGAGTGCTTGTTCCAGCCTCTTTAGGAACAGTTACCAAGTTCAAAAAAAATCTATACTTACAATTAAACTTTCAGAAAATGAAAAATAATTTCCCTAACAATTTCATTTCCTTTTTTGATAAAATCTTAGAGCATATTGTCAGAAGTATAAATATATGTTGGATTTTTTTTCTGTTTTTTCCTAAAAAACTGCCATTTGTTAAAAAGGTCTTTTTGAGATAAAATATCGCGCTAAAAATCTATAATAAACAAGTAATAAAAAAAGTAATGAACCGATAAAAGCCTTTTATGTATGTTGACTTGTTATATTCTGAAACCTCTGCTTTAGATCCCGGTGGTCAGAGTCCTTTGGTGCCTGATTAGTTTACAGTATTTCTGTCAAATTGTTTTAAGCTGTTATTCAAAATCAATTTCAGCAGCCAAGAGGTTGCCTAAATAACTGTTTTTACATACATTTCATACCTACAGTGCAAAACTATATTCAGCACTTTGCCTGGAGAAATAATAACCAACAAAAATAATCTGTTAATCTTTAACTGAACTTGTTTCTCTCTTCAAGTCACTTTACTAGTATTCAGAATTGCGTCTAGTGACTAAAAACTTGAATCTCTGCTGTGCTCTTGCTCTCAGACCCTTTCAAATCTGTGTTCATGCATGTGTCCATCCCAACAGACCTATCACTAATTTCCCCTGTGGGCTTTTCAAAAGAAAATGGGGAACTGATATCACACCCGGGGACTGGGCAGCCACCCAGAACAAACAATGGTAACTGCCAGCACTTGCATGTTTTATCACAGGGCTTGACTGAACAGCTTGTGGATATTCACATCCTCATTTTCCAGTGCCACAACCCACTTGGGTCTGACTACACTACCTCTGACCAGTTTAACCAGACAAAATGAAGGTCATTTTCCACAATCACAAGTGCCAAACCTACACAGACTGGCCAGTGGTGCCAACATGATCAGGCTTGAAGAGCCCCCGGCATTTCCGCTGAATGCCAGTACACATGAAATAGGGTTTATGTCAGTAATTTTGCTTTCACACCAACTGTATGCCAACTATAGAAAAAAAAAAAAAAAGACAGTAGCTGCTATGGACCTGGAATGCCTCAGTTTCTAAAATGCTAAGTGCTATTGCACAGTACAATTTCTTTAGTAGCAAAGATGATTAAATTAATTACACCTAAATTTGTCAAAATCTTATAGATAAAGAATTATGCTATTTTGATGTGGTTTTGTTGATCATCTTCACTGCCAGAGAGGAGAAAAACCATCAATGCTGGTGTGCACACCCAAGGTTATCTAATAATTTGTTTGTTTGAATGTGAGCTTATAACACATGCATCATGCAGTTCTGGCAGTTTTGATCAGTCCTAGGATCTTGATTTTCTGTCCCATTAAATCATGGCCTCATTCCAGCAGAGTACTCAGCATATATGGATAGCTTGTCAATGGATGAAGTCATAGCCTTATCACAGAACTACATATCTGAGCGGAGACACAGAGAGAAAATCCACTACATTTCATAACTAAATGAACTGTCTCTTTACCACACCTCTGATGGTGTAGGGCTGTTGGAGAGACATTTGTATAGACTGGTAAATCTTTGTGCAGCTGGCCTAAATAAGGAGAAAAAAGACAAGGCAGGTTTTTCCTCAGCTGAACCCAGCAGCAACAGGGCTGAACAAGTGGACATGTTTTTACAGGGATGTTGCAGAAACTGGAAAGCTGTCTGGGTAATGTCAGGTAATGTCAGGTAGATAGCAGCTCATGTTTCTAAACTGGCATAGAGGATTGGTGCACAGGAGGGTGCAAGGTCTCCATCACTGGAAAGTAGGAAAATGGACAGATGGCAATCCATCCTTGCTGTAGGGCTGGGTAAAAGGACCTCCTGAACAAATTTTCATCCTTTCTGTGGTTGTAGGCTATGTCATCCCAAGACACAGGAGGGAGGAGGAAGTCAAGGGGAAATTTCCTAAAAGGGAGGACGTGGGAAGGCAGCTGCCAGATGACAGAAGAGTTCGGTATTATTCTGACAGCAACAACTCATTAGTTTTCTGCTGCAAGAGACCAAAAGAGAGGTTTTCTGGAGACACCATTACTCACCATAGCTACAAGAGAGCAAAACAGGCCTGGTCCTGGTGACACTGTTCCCATGGTAAACCTCACATACAAACTCCCCAGGACCGGTTTTGTCCAGGCGAACCTTCTTCCCGCCATCCTTAACACAAGCCTCAGGGGCACTCATCACGGTGCCATTCAGCAGCCACCGAAAGCTGGCGCTCTCGTTGCTGTTCACGTTGCAAGACAACTCTCCAGTCCCATTAGGAAAGCACTGGATACCAATGGCTGGCTCTGGTCACACACAGCACAGGGCAATGGGAACAGGAAGGAAAAAAAGAGGTGAGGAACCAACTCAGCAGTGAACAGGAGCTGGACAGGAGCTCCCCTTACTACCACCACATTTACTGCCAGGGAGCACAGAAGTAAACAACCAGACTCCTAAGTGCCTACCCCCAGCCCTGAAATGGTTAGCAGTGCCCATCCAACCCTGCTGGTGACTCCTGGTACCTATTTCGGGGATGCCATGAAAATCTGGTGTTTCTTCATTTTCCTTACTGAAATTGAAAACATGATATATAAAAGCCCCTGATCTGAAAGGATGGTGCAAACACCCAAAGCATATGCCATCCAGGGGCTTCCTCTGTAATCAACAGGTAACCAGCTTCAGAGACTCAGCCCTCTCCTCCCCCAGAGGTTTGTACTTTTGTTATCACTGTGCCTCTTCTTCTATTTTAGAGAGCAATTGGTACAAATCATGTCCAACATAGGTACCAGACACCTGCAGGTAGATAGGATGACCCAGACTAGGCCAGTTTGAAATGAAGTTATGATTCATCGATCTTACTACATTTTTCTGAATTTCTCTCTTTCTGTCTACTACAAGGAGCCAGCCTATTTCCTAAATTTGCCACTTTGCAAATACAGACTACACAGAGAAATAATATGGTTTTAAGACAGTAAGAGTAACTCTGAGAATGTTGATGTAAACATCCATGTAAATAAGCTCAGAAATCACTTTGTTCAACTAGGACATTACCTTCAGCTAAAATTCACTGCCCTCAGGACTATCTTTGCTGTGAAATTGTTTCCTTGACTTAGGTGTGGCAACAGAAAAGAAGGAGGAGACAGAAGTTCCCAAAGCAAATTCACTGAAATGGAGGTTAAATCCAGGACACTTCTGCAGTCTTTGCCTACTTCCAGTCTAAGTCCCTGATCTTCATGCCAAGGAGTCACATCTTTGACCTACTCTCCATGGCAGTTCCGCCTGTTTGCGCACAAAAGGTTTAAAGATTCATTTGTCTTCACTAAGACCAGTTTGCTCAGACATTTTCATTACAATTTCATACGCTTCAATCTCCCTTAGAAGCTTTTTTAAGTGAAAGCCCTGCAAAAGGAATGGTGGAGATGAGGACCAGAACAACGTTCGCTGACTTTCTGGAGCACTATTCAGCAGGGGGCAAACCCATTTAAGCCTTCTTCATATTAATACAAGCAATGAGCTGGATCTGGTACAGAAGTGATTTTGCATCTGTCTTCTCACTCCACAGATGGATGAGCAGGCACACAAAGGGGAGCAGCAATTCTGAGGCCACAGGGAGGACAGCAGGGATACTGGCATGGCAAGAAACCTATAGCTGGTCTCTGAACAGACCCAGAAGGTACTGACCTCCAAGCTGCTCAGAGGCACCTAAAAATCAGAAAGTCATACCTGGATTTGTTTAGCACCTTCCCTCAGCTGCATGAAGCAGGAGAATAACCCAGCACACCTCAACCCAGACGCGCACAAGGCCAGTTCAGTTTCCAGAGCCAAGCAAGGTAGAGTTAACTCCTTAAGGAAGTGTGTGCACAGGCAACAAAAATGCTGTTCGGTCAGTGAGAGATTTTGTGAGAGCCATCAGAAAGAGTACTCTAGAAATGGACTGAAGTCCATTCCAGCTACAGGTCTACATACTGTAGGCTCAACTTCACAAAAAATTCGTGCTGTTATCTCTTACAGCAGGAAAACCAGCACATTGCTCAACTGACTGGCTACTTCAAGGCTCAACAGACAGGAGAGACTGACAACACAGATGCAACAAGCATCCTTTATTTACACTCACCATTACTGTTCCCTGAGGTGTCAGAATCTTACAAAGCTGTTCCAGAGGCACCTATAGCTCCCGCAAGCTGAAGTGGTCACTTAGGAAGAATTTCAAGGCACCAGCTTCCAGCCAGGCTCACAAGTTCAAATGTTATTTGTTGATAAGTAGGCTACTTACCAAATACTTGCACTGTAAAAACTCTGGTGGTGTTGTGAAAAACAAACTCATATTTTCCTTCGTCCTCTTTCTCCACAGTCTTCAGCACTAGAGAGCCATTCCAGAAGTTCAGGCATCTGGGGGCAGAAGTGCCACACTTAGCCAGCAAAGTATCACTCGAGACACTTGTCAAGCATCTCATGTCCCTCTTGCTCATACTGGAGAGGTTCTGCAGGCTCTGAATTCCCACAGAGAAGACTGCTGAGCTGCCACTGAGCACACTGGTCCAGGTGATAGAGCCTAAAGGAGAGATGCAGAGTGTGGGCAGCAAGCTTGTGGTGTCCATCCATCCCCTCTCAGCTGCCTCCCAGACAGGCAAATGCACAGGTGAGACCTCAAGAGGCACAGACCCACCCCTAGTGACAGACTGTAATTGGAAGTCAGAGGAGTGGGAAGCCTTGCATAAAGGCAAACTTCCCCCCACCCTGTGACACGGGAGTGGTGTTCATACCACACACACATTACAAAAGGCTGAGCACCTCATTTTTTCTCTCCTCAAACTTGACACGAACATCTCCCAGCCAACCCTCAGAACTGCAAGACTGTGCAGGCAGATACTCTGGGCATCGATGCCATGGATCTTTTACAGAGGAAAGCAAAACCAACTGCTGCCTGCACAGCTACTTTTACACAAAGAGTATGGTGGCAGCTTTAACTTTAACAAGTCTTACAGTAATCCTGCATGCTGTGAAGTTGCTGTACACAAATCAGAGGTGGGTAAATGGCAGGGCAGCAGCAGCTCGGGGACTAACCTGAGGTCACACCAAGCATTAGGAGCGGGACCACATCCTCCCTAGCCCCTCCAGCCAGCGTTCTGCCTACAAGGACCTTACGTTCTCTTCTGAAATGCTTCGACAGATGCAGTACACTGAGAAAGCATTCTATTGTTAATTATCATTCGTTTACTAAAAAAAAAATCTGTCTTACTTTAGTCTGACTACCCCTTTCATGTATTGGTACTTACGCTATTTGACATCTCCCCAAACCTGGTAGAGTTATTAAGAGACCTTGGAGCAAAATTAAGGTGTCTGCCGATTTAGGCAATCTGTGCCAACTTCATAAAGAAAAATCCCACTTACCATGAGTAACAGTTATTATCACCAGCAAGCACTGCAGAGTAAAAGGAGAGCTGAAATCCATTTTAAAGACCTCCTTGCACCATATGCTGAGAAGACGATCTGGCTACAGAGCTCGGTGAATATAGCACTCAGGAAATGATGTCAGAAGTAAGAGAAGGAAAAAAAAAAAAAGAAACTCCAGAGACTGAATAATGTTTCAAAATAGACCTGCAAGGTTTTGGGTGACTGAACTCAGGCTGAATAAATGCAAGCCACAATGTGCTCTGCAAAGTCCTCCACCTTGGTGCCAGCTGCAAGTGTGAGAATAGGGCTGAGTGGTAAGGAAAGGCAAAAATATCTCCTGGTCAGCTCACCCTGTTTAGGAAGATGCCAACACCGAGAGCAGGCAAAGGTGAGACACTTTTTTTTAATCCTTTTCTAGTTTTTGAAGTACTGTATCCCCACCCAGGGAGAAAAATCAGTCCAGTCAGATAAAACATTGCACATGCACACCAGCTGAGATACGAACAACAATCAGTTACAGAGAGTCTTACCAGCAGCACAGGTGGGAGAAGGCTTTCCCTCTGTATGCAAAGGTACATTGCCAGCCTGAACTTTGCTGGGCTCTTCTGAATAGCACCTGCCATGCGGGAAAGGGCTCCATACAACCACCCCAGGCACAGAATAAAGGTTATGGGAAGTTGCATTGCAAAACTGGACAGAATGCACCCAGAAGCCACCCTGGCTCTGTCTGTAGTGCAGATCCTAGAGACGAGACCAAAAAGACAGTCTTTTAAGAACCACAGTGAACCAGTTATCTACAAGGTCATACAGGCCCAGACACTTTGTTCACATTCATTGAGATGGCTTAAAGCACACTGGCATTTCGTACTGAGTACCAAGGTGGATTGATTACACAAGCAACACATCAGAAACCATCTCACTCACTGGAGGAAGTAAACTTCCATAACACTAGAGCCAACATCTGGAATTTTTTAGATGCACTTAGCAGATGTACTAGGGAACAACTGTTCAGAATGCAGCTGGCAATCTTACACTTTTATGTCTGTGTCCAGAAAAACAGCACAAACACAGCCTGTTAAAGAAGCTCCATACTGTGGAATTACATGTATAAACATTTCTGAGAAATGATTAAACCCCTTGTGTTGTGGTCCACACTATTTTTCAAAGAATCTGTCTCTGCTTGATAATTCCACATTTCAGCCACTGTTTTGGTCCCTCTGACTTCTCAGTAATGACAATTACATCTCATCTCCTACACCCAGTGTCCAAAATTTACAGGTTTGTTCAAGGCTACCACAGCATCATCCTGTCTTTATCATACATGCATAGGACAGGTCTAAATTGATCTAAGATGTGCCAGAAATAGCCTTCTCTGAGAAAAGCTGTGAAGCAAGTCTTCAGACGCAACAGTGTAGAGGAAGGGGTAGAAAGAAAAGTATTTACAGTAAGTAAGAAACACTTTCATTCCCTTCTGTGCCGCTGAAATGGCATGAAGAAAATCTTTCTCAAATATCGCTGCAAGACTGGGGCTAACTACCTGCCTTAGATGTGCACGTTCAACTTCATTTCACCTTCATGCGTGAAGGGCAAGCTGGTAGAGCTGAGGGTTGCAGTGCTGTGGTGGAGGCACAAGACAGAACAGACAGCATGTGCAGGGTCACTTCAAAATAGCACTCCAAAATGTTCAGAGTTAGAGAAAAACAACAAAATGCAAAAGGGGTCTGCATACAGCCACATCCAGCAAATGTTCACTTCTCCTCCAGCCAATGACAGCAGCGTCACAGAGCTCATTTAAAGATTTGCAGTAAAATCTAAGGAAAATATGGCCTTTCTAGTGTAGCTCTGTTGTTCCAAAAGTGACTGCATGACTGTGACATTGCAGTGTCCTGTATTTAGTTTCCCTCTCAGCAACTCCAGGACAAATGAGTACATTTATGAGTTCAATATTTCTTGACTGAAAGTGCCCCATACATCACATGGTATGTGAAGTCCCATTAGGTTCCTTCTGTCCCTCACAGCCTCACTAGCTAAGAAAAAAACCTCACAGCCAGGATGAAGATGACAGCACATGCACAGCCTGTGTTGTCATCCACCAGCAGCCTCCTCTTAAGAGCAACCCTCTCAAATTACATGTATAATGAATTTCTTTGATGAGATTAGACACTAATTTCTAACATTGGCTAATAAATGCTCACAACACCCTTGGCTGAAATTTCACTTCCCTTTTTTATACAAAGACATAAAGTTTTGTGTGAATGTTGCAGATAGAAAACACCTTGTGAGGCTTAACAGAAACTACAAGTAGAAGGCGGGGGGGGGGGGGGAAATAAGGGCATGGTACAGGGAGGTGATCCTGCCCCTCTACTCTGCTGAGACCCCCACCTGCAGTACTGCATTCAGCCCTGGAGCCCCTAACACAAGAGGGATGTGTTGCTGCTTGATTGAGTCCAGAGGAGGGCCAGAAAGCTAGAGCACTTATCTATGGATACAGGCTGAGAGACTTGAGGTTGTTCAGCCTGAAGAAGAGACTTCACAGCAGCCTTCCAGTATCTAAAGGCGGGGGGGCTACACGAAATCTGGAGAGGGACTTTTTACAAGGGCAAGTAGTGATAGGAGAAGGGGGAATGGCTTTAAACTGAAAGATGGGAGACTTAGATCAGACATTAGGAAGGAATTCTTCCCTGTGAGGGTGCTGAGGAGCTGGCACAGGTGCCCAGAGAAGCTGTGGCTGCCCCATCCCTGGCAGTGTTCAAGACCAGGTGGGACGGGGCTTAGAGTGACCTAGTATAGAGGAAGGTGTCCCTGTCCATGGCAGGAGGTTGGAACTGGATAAGATTTAAGGTCTCTTCCAATCTAACTCATTCTATGTTTCCGTAAGAACTTGTAGCTGGAAGGTGAACTAAAAATCTTTTTACATGGTGAGTTGCAAGCTCACAGGATTATTTTGTTCATTTAGCCTCCAACAGCATCACAAAAGGAGAATAGAGATTCATTCCTTACATGACATGAGGCACTGATAGAACACAGGAGATTGGAAAACCTGAGCTAGCAAGTAAAGCAGGAAGTAAGCTGTGAAGTATTACAGAGAAATTTGTACACACTAACGCTGCACATCTTTTAAATAGGCTGGGGTTAGCAGCGTACCTGTTTTTACTGTCATTAATGCCTGTCAGCATTACCTGGGGAAATACACAGGCCTGTCTTAACATGGAGGAAGGCGGCAGAGCCAGATGTTAGAAACTCAGTGTGTGGAAACAGAAAATGAGCCCACAGCTCCAGCAATGCATGGAGGCAGCTCTGCAGGCTGCTGAGGCCTCCCTGCCCCAGCACCAGCTCCTGGCTACAGCATGGCCATGGCTATACCACAGGCTGCCAGGGCACGTACAACCTGGTTTCTGCAGCACTGGGAGGAGGGAGAGGCTTGCAGTCATGTTAACTTACCTGTCCAATCCACGCCTACAGCTACTCATGCATGAGACTGTTTTTAATTAAACATGTTTTGAGTGGCTCTGAGGAGGGTTTGGCTGTGCAGCCACAAAGCAGGAATGGCGGTCAGGCTTTCAAGATGCTTCTATGTGGGGTCAGCAGGATGCCAGAGGCTGAACTTGCAGAGACTGATAGAGATTTATGTTTATAAGAATATGAATTCTTTGCTAAATGGAACTAGGCAGAGAGCTATTCTTGAATGCTGACTCTTTCTTGATCAAAGAAACAGTAATAACAAGCAAAAAATAGAAGAGTATACATAAAAATGTATACACTTACATGGTGATAAAGAGACTGTCATGCACTTTTTCTCTCCAACAGCAAAGTTGGGAAATTAGTTATTTTACAGCTTACTTAGGAATCAGACACATATAATCAGAGTACTCCTGTAAATCATGTTCATGTAAATCACGTTCAGAGCAAGTGACCTTTGGACAAAATAGGTTGTACTTGCATAGTAAGAAGAGTGACCAGGACTTCTGGTCATAGATGAAGGCCCCCTCGAGTCAGGGACTCTATAGCCCCACATAGATCTGTAAAATGGAAATAAACCTGCAGACTCCCAGTTACAGACAACAAGGACATGGACATGAACAGACTTCCCAGGTAGCCCCACAGTACAGACCTGCCAAATACCATATGCTCTGCATGAGACCTGCTCCACTGGCCCTTGTCCCATAAGTTGTCCTGTAGCACTTTCAGTTCATACGTTTGTGATACAGCACCACAGCACTGCTGCCTGGGACCCAACACACCAGGAACAGCCTGTCAGTCTGGATGTCCAGCCAGCTGCAGGTGGCTTGCATGGCCCTAGAGGGGCAGAAAAAACAAGAGGCTGCATTGCAGCTGTGGATAGACATACTTGTACCAACAGCAGTCCATTCTCCAAGATAACCCACACCCTAAGTACACTTGCCACTCACCTCAATGGATGCACATGGCGCTGTCTACCAGCATGTCTGACAGAGGAGAGGCTCTTCCTCACCACAAGGACCAGAGCAGAAAGGTCTCCTGTCACGTCTTAAGAAAGCAGAAAGGCCAGACACAGATCATGGATGCTGTTCTCCAACTCCTGAAATCTCCCATTTGCCATGGTTTCCACAGAAAGTTGCACGTGGGGCATTTCTCCTGACCAGCTCTCACATGGATACTGAATGAGATTTTTATTCTCATTCCTCTTACCTCTGCCTCAAGAGATAACCTGCAGGTGATCCCCCTTCCAGCTCAATCCATCCAACTTCCATGGGGCTGGTCATCTTCCCCAAGACACCCCACACCCACTAACCAACTGCACAACATGAGATTTAATCAGGCCACTGTGAGTGAAGGAGAGAGTGAAGGAGACACATTGCCACACTGTTTTTCCAGATTCGAGTACAAAGAGACCATAAAAAAGACTGTTCTAACTCAGATTAAAAGTTCACCTCAGCCATTAGCCTTTCTCCAAACATAGTTGATGTCAGCCTCAATGAGAGATGCTATCTCTGTGACAAAGACATTTAAAGGAACCCACAAATTATAAAAAGCATGTTGCAGAAACATGCTGATATCAGGAAGTGCTACAGAAAGGCTCTGGGCCCAGGACAAAGTACCTGTGGTTTCTCCAGCCTGTAGTACCTCAGAGATGTACTTGCAGGAGTCAGGGCCAGGATTTCTGGAGCTC